GGAGCCAACACCATTCACAACATCACAAGCAAACGGAGAATGCTCAAACAACAGGGTCTGGGGATAGAGATATTCACCTGCTCTTGAACAGAAAGACATTTTTTCAGAGGGAATTCATAGACTATTCAATAACCACTCACACCCCACTCATTAACTTTGTCATCCACAAGATTTTTGGGGTGTTCAAGGCCTATTTCCCATACTTCCTGTTTTAAGGTGAGTTTTCCCAGATATTATATATGTAATATAGTGTATATATATATAATATATCCTTTTATTACCATTTATAGTTCACAGTCTTTGATTCATTACAGAGACTATTTCAACCTTCTCCCTTCCTCTGTCCAGTAACAAAATAAGAACTGTTGTCCATTTCTGTCAGAGCTAGCAGGACTGTAACAAACCCCCACTTCCTTGCTGAAGTTCTCCAGTGATCTACTCAAGAGAGGGAGAGAATCGATCCAGAAGGGGGTACAGAAAAGAAACCGTCTGAGGATTTACCTCTTGCAAGACTGCACTCTTCTCCAGGTGCTGGAATGGGTTGGAATTCCCACCTGCAAAATAAAGAGAGTAAAAATCTCTCCAGGGATCATGCTATGGGGAAGCAACTTTCTAACCACGCCCATACTTTAAAAACAGACTGAGCATTTGGGGTTGATTTTTTTCCATGAACACCAAGAAACCAGAGGTCCCTCTTCAAGTAATATTAATTAGATGTCTTCATGGCAGTCAGGGAAGCCAGAGCAGACAGGACATTCTTCAATCTGTCATCCCCTCCAGAAGTAACTGACTTTGAGCCAAGGTAGACTGATTAGCTGTAAAATAACTGTGCTCCACTATATCCCCAAAGACCTATTTCCAGCCCCTGGGCTGGGAGCTTGCTGACAGTTAGAACATCAATAAGACAGGCCTAGAAACAAAAGCTTATACAAAAAGAGGTATTGCTTGCCAGACTGGTGAGTCAGGAGCATTTTATGCCTCCCATATAAACCAATCAGGAATCCACCAGTAAAGTATTTTTGGCTCTATCACTAATTAAGATAAAAAAATAGCAGACTAGATACACTGGACACAGAATAACTTTCATTGTTCCACTTAACAAAATAAATTATACTAAATAATTAAAACCCTCACCAATTAAGGACAAAATAATCAGAGGGAAAAGCACTATCATTCTGCATGGCCTCGATTAGCTTGCCTCCCAAGCTTTTTTGAGCTGTAGCTTTTCAAAAGCTGCCAGTTATTGATAAGCAGGTTTTAATTAGTACCTACGTTCAGCCTGGCCCTGAGACAAAACCCAGCCGTTTTCATGGCTGTTCCAGTGCTTGTTCCAAAGCCTGATCTGCCAGAGAGAACATCTCCCAGGGCCAAATCCGAACTGACCCAGGCTTGAGGCATCCTAGGCTGGTGCCAGGAGCCCTGGCTAGAGTCGGCCTTACACCCAAAAGCAAACATATCTGCACTCCAGCTCCTTCCTGGTTCATAAACTGCCCTCCTCTGGCTCAGGAAAAGTTTGCAAAGGCAGGAGGTGGCTGAACAAAGCACAGACTTTATGTGAGAAGAGAAGAAAACAAGGGAAAAGAGCAAAACCACCTCTAGCGTGAGTATGAAACGGTTCTAGTATGAGCATGTGAATGTGTTCCAAAAAACCCGCCCAGCAGCACAGTATTCCCACAGTCCCTAAATCAGCCAGGAACAATCAGCCACAGCATCAGCTCTTCATCTTTCACAGCACTAAGGATCTTGAAATACATCGTACGTGAGGTCTCAGTCCTCACAGCACCTTGTGCTGAAGTATTCTTCCACAGAGAAGGAGAAAGATGCAGCGAGGGCAGAGGCTGTGTGTTCAGGAAGCTCCTACTATTGGATGACCAGCAACAATTTGTTTTAATTCGCAGAGAGACAGCCACTGGCGGACTAAGGATCTCAGAACAATTTTATGCCCAAAATAACATGTCAAAGCGCATTGCTGAGCACAAGCAGCTCATCCCAGGCTAGCTAAACTATCCATGGAAAGCAAACATACAGAAGCAATTAAGTGGATACACTGATCTCAACAAAGACTGTCCTGTTAGCCTTTACACGGAGAGAATGAGAATGCAAGGCCTGTAAATTCAGGGATGATGCACTCCACCTAATACTGAGAACAGCAAGCACTCAGGATATACATTTTGAACACCGACACACTCCACAGGAGAAAGGCAGGCACAGTAAATGTTAAGAGTCTTCATTCAAGACAGAAGCAACAGGATGAGAATTAAATCCAATAGAAAATCAAAACTGCTGTGAAGCCACAAGCAGCAGTGGCAGAAAGACGAAAGGAGGGTTCTGTGAGCTCCTGGTATGAACAAAACCAACAAGGCTCATCACCATAACACAAGGAAGTGCATCTCCTGCCAGCCTTGGCCATAGGTAATGTCAGTATCTTGAAGAGTGTGGCAGGTGCAAATGAAGAATACCTCCCAAAAGGAAAGTCAAGAGCAACTCCCCCCCAAGAGTTGCCTCACTAAATTCTCTGCTTATCAAGACCTCACTGGAAGCTTTGGACGAGGGAAACAAGGGCAGAGCATTTAATGCATATTAAAATAAAAAGCAAGCAAAGTCACACAGAACCATCACCAAGATTTACAAGGAATCAATTAGCTGCAGGACGCACTGATTTGTTATGCAGAGTAACCTGCACAGAAAGCTTCACAGGAAGATGAAAAAGATGGCACAACCATGAAAGTAAACACTGTCTGAAGCATCAGTCCCACCTGAATTACACACCCCAGAAAATATCAGACTTTTCCTTACTACTCACCCTAAAGTTCTGAAAGGTCAAACAATCACTTCATGTTTCTTTAGTGCTCTCAGCTTTTCCTGATCCACTGAAAGTTGCAGTGATTGCATTGGAAGAGCAGACCACGTGTTTCAGAAAAAGTGCCAGAAACTACGAATAGGGTTCTGCCTGGCTTTAGCACCTGGTTTGAGAGCTGGGCGACTGTGCACAGAGCCAATATGCTCAATATTTACTCTCAGACCCTGCATCTGGTGACGCGGCCGGGTAACCCTGGCGTGCTGTGCCAATACAACCAGTTTAGCCTCTCACTGCAGCTGTGAGGAGACGGCAGCAGACTAGTTCCAGTGCTTCCACGGTGCTCCCACTGTGCCAAGCTCTCGCGGGGGTCTCCCCGCACGGGTCCCGCCACTGCTCACAGGAGGGGTGTCCCCGTCACAGCCCCCCTCGCACCCACAGGAGGGGTCCCCCCGCCACTTATGCCCTCGGCAGCCACAGGCGGGTCTCTCTCCTCACAGCTGCCCCCATGGCCACAGGAGGGGTGTCCCCGTCACAGCTCCCCCCACGCCCCAAGGAATGGTGTTCCCCTCACAGCCCCACCCCCTACCCCCGTACCCACGGAGGGCTCTCCCCGCTTACGGCGCCCCCGGCCTCCCCTCACCCGACTCCTCGTCCTTCTTGTCGAACTTCTTCAGCATGGTGCTGCCTCGCTGCGGCTCTCCCGCACCGTGACAGTGGCGGTCCCGGTCCCGACCCCGGTCCCAATCCCGATATCCCGGTGCCGGCCCGGGCACCGCCCCTTCCTGCCAGGCTGTCACTGCCGCCGCGCCGCCCGCACTGCGCACGCGCCAACCCGCCCCCCGACGTGGCTCGCTGCAGCGGGCGGGAGGGGCGGGGCGGTGGTGCTTGATTGACAGGGAAGGGGGCGGGACCGAGCGGAAAGGGCGCGGTGTGATTGGCGGAGAGGCGGGGCTGGGCCGGGGGGTACGGGGGCAGCTCTGGGTCTGGAGCTGCACTGGGAATACTGGGGGGCACTGGGAGTGGAGGGGGGATACACTGGGGGACTGGGGAGGGGAGATGGGACGCTGGGGCAGGACATGGGAAGGAGTTTCTGGCAGGGGCTCAGCACCCCAGGCGGCAAGTGGGGGTGGTAGAGGGGAACCCCCTTCTCGGGATGGGCAGTTGTCACCCGGGCTGCCTGCCCTGGAGCATCCTGCTGGGATGCACCACCTCTTGAAGCACTTCCTGGGCCCCCCGTCCCCACTGCTACTGGCGTCCTGTACCCTGCACCCAGAAACCCCAGGTCTAGCCTTGGGGCACCCACCTGCTGCCATGGAGGGTCCCCAGGGGCCAGCGCTGCCCAGGCATCCCCTGAGCCCCGAGGCAGGTAGGGACAACAAAGGACCTGTTGGCCACCTCACCACCTCACCCCAACCCACGATCAGCTGGCACATCCCTTCACCAGCTACCAAAATACGTCCCTCCCAAGGAATGTGGGCTCAGCTGAATTGCTTGGGCCCCCTTTCCAAAGCCAGCGTCTGCTCCAAGGCCAAAGGGCTCACTCACCCTGCACCAAGTACTCGTCGAAGAACATGGCTGTGTCCCCCACCAGCTCCAGCAGCCCCCCCAAGGGTGTCTCCCGGCCTCTGCCTTGCCTGCACCACCCTGTACTTTGCACGGGGCGGCCGCACTCTGCTCTGTGCTGCTCTTATCTCCCAGCTGTGCCGAAGACGGCGGCTCCGGTGGCACAACACAACGTCCCTGTTGGCCCAGAGCTGCTGTAAGCTAACTAGGCCAGGGGCTGGCCCCGCTGCTGGTGCTGCTGGCACCCCTCAGTTGGAGTTTAATGAGCTCCTGTGCTGGACCTGGCCCAAAACATGCCCTTGCTGCAGCTCTGGGGAAAGGGTACACAAAATGGGGGTGTAAAGGGGTGCAGAACCAATATAAACCAAAACAAGTTGCATTTGATGCCATGTTTTATTGTGCACGCTCACCATCTCAGGCTCCAAGGCTCAGCCGAGCTTTGCGGAAGGTTTTGTGTGCTGCAATCACCCAGGGAGAAGCAGCACACAGGAAAAGCTGCCTGGCTGGATGCAGCCCCTTTGGAGACATTCCAGTGGTGGATGAGCAGGGAGCAAAGCCAGGCACAGAAATCCCCGTGGTTCCTGAGACTGGGACTCGGCTGTGCTCCAGTGCTGGCCTGAGCAAAGGCAAACCCAGCTGTGTCTTCTCCAGTGGTGCTGAGGTGACGGTTATTAAACCAAATCCAACCGTGGCTGCTGCTTGTGCCACGAGCACCGGGACCAGGGGGAGGAGATGCTGTGTCCACAGCCCCCTGCAGGCACACCAGTGCCACTCCACGCTTCCCTCCATCTGTGCCCCTGGCAGCACCGCTGCCCTCTCCGGCCCTGCCTGTGCAGGCATGTCCCAGCCAGGGGAGTTCATCTCCTGCGCCCCAGCCGGGCCATCAGCTCGGCATTGGCGGCTGCCTTGTCCTGTTGCTCCTTCTCTCTGGCCAGGTCGAGCAGGATTTTCAGTAAGTGTGTGTGGACATCAAGTGACAGGGACACCTTCCTCCCCTTTTTCCTGGGAGCAGATCTCTTGGTGGCCGGGCTGATCGGCCAGGGCAGTGCTTTCCTTGCTGACCCCTCTGGCAGCGACGGACTGGCTTTGTCTGGATGAGACCCTTCCCCAGAGCCAAGGTCGCCCCTCCTTATTTTGGGGAGACCTGGCAGCATCTTGTTAGTGCTGGTGGTTTCCTGGCTTGTCAGCTTACCTCCATCCCCAGCTCGGGTGACTAGTGGGAGCCGCTCATGTCTTGATTCCTTCCGGGCTCTCACTGGTGGCCCGAGGACCACCAGGAAGGTGAGCAGCATCCTGCCTTGCAGCGTGGCCAGGAGTGCCTGTGGGGAGCACATGGATGAGCATCACCCCCCATCACACTGCCGTGGCCCCACAGCCCCCCAGGCAGGACACATCCCCACCAAGGTGCCACATGTAGAGCCCCCCTACTCCCCATGACAACTGAGGTGGGGGGGGGGGTTTTCACCTCCTTTTGGGAACCCCTAATTTTTTCACCCTGATTTTAACCTTTTCGAACAGGGCGGGAAGTTTTGGGGAGGATGAAGGGGATGTGGGAATCAAATAAGCAGAGTACCCTTGTCCTTTCACACAGCCCATATCCAGGCACTAGCTATCAGCTCCATTTTACACTCTCCAGCCCTTTGTCATCCAGAGCAGGGGACATTCCTTCTCAGGAGGCTGCCTAGGCACTGTGGCTGCTCCCCAACCCATTACTGCCCTTTGGCCAGGGAAATGTGACGTGCCTGGGGTTTTGGGGCTGGGCACGCCTTCCCACAGGGTTCCTGGGCTCTCTGGGGCAAAAGTCAAGCTCCCTAGGAGGGACATGAGCCACCTGGCCCAAAATACACAGCAGATTGGTGGCAGGGGGGTGACAAGGACATGAGTTGTGCTGAGCCTCCACCCCATCCCTCACCCTGGTCCCAAGGAGGGCCCTGGAGGTTTCAGGGTGTTGTGATGGAAGGTGGGGGTCAAAACAAGTGCAGGGGCACTGCTGCACAAATCCTGCTGTATTGCTGCCTCTTCCCCAAATCAGTCACCCAGTCAGGTTTGTCCAGCTGGAAGGTGAAAAGTGAAAGGCATCCAACCTCCTGCAACCTATCTCCTGGGTGAAACCCTTTGGAAAGTCCCAGAGCAGGCAGCCAGAGGCGGTTTAACTCACCTGGAAGCGGGCAGTGAAAAACATCCAAACCCCTGCAACCCGTTTCCCAGCTAAAACCCCCTGAAAAGCACCACTGAGGGCAGAGTCTCACCATTTCCAGCAGGTCCTCGTCTCCCCAATGTTCAGGCAATGCTCTCACAGTGCAGGGACCACGAGCTGGGGATTTGCCCTGCTCCCTGCCAAGCCCTTGCTCTTATCCTGTCCCAGCTCCACCTCTGACCCGCAGAGGGGGTGATGGTGACATGGGGAGGGGGGAGGAATGTTATTAATACATTTTGCCTAATAGCAGATGAAATCATCCTGGGATGTGGGTGGGCGTATGCCCCCTTGCATTTAGAGGGCGTTCCGGGAACCTGGGCCATCTCAGTCATAATTGTTTCACGTCTGACTTGTGAGATGTTTTTCTCCATCTATTTAGGCCTTCCTGCTCCTATCAGCCTTAAGGAAGGGAGAAATCATGCATATTGGTGCTGGTCAGTGGCCATGGCATTGGCTGTGAGTGCCAGCCCTCTGGGCACTGTGTCTCAGGAGGCTCCTAGATATCTCCTGGTACTGGTCTGATGCTGTGTCCTGATGGGCTTCCTGGCCCTGGCCAGCTGGGGGAGATATCTGGAGAAATGTCACCTCCCTGCTGTTCCAACTGTTTTACAGTCCACCTTCACCCAGTCTAATTGCCATGCCACTGGTTTGCAGCCCACCTGTACTAGTCCAGTCTGGCCCATCCCCTCTTCCAGTCCTGTGATGGGTAACAGCCTGTAGGCATTGCCGTGGGGTGAGTCCCACATGGAAGGGCTTTGCCCCAAAGTTTGTCGCTTAGGGACTGGGAGCATACCACGGCTCTCAGGCCAGGCAGGAACCTGCATGAGATGAGCTGGTGAGTGCTCAGCCCAGAGGGCTGGCCAGGGCAACGAGCCATGGTGCTCTGGGTTCAGACCACTGGGGGTCTGCCCACCCCCATGGCCGCAGGGTGACCGGTCCTATGCAACCCCCCCCCAGCAGTGGCAGGGAGTGGAAATAATGGTGGCTCTGTTCCTCCCACTGGGGACATCCAGGAACTCACACCCAGCAGCCAAAATTAGCACTGATTCACACAGCACATCATGCAGCACCACAGACCCACGTGCCGACACGTCAGGGCCTGGACAGGAGGTCACGGCCTGGCTTGCGTCAGCTGGGCATGTGCCGGGCACAGGGATGGGGCACTGGGTTCCCTCAGGGGGGTGAGGAACCCCGGCCAGCGCTGCCAGCAGTGGGCAGCAGGAAAGGGCAACCCAGCTGGGGTGGGCAGGGGACATGCCTGACTCAAGAGCTGACCCCAAACTCCACGAGCGTGCCAAGAAGCGTGACATCCCCCTGTGAGCACAGCTTTAATATCACATCCCCCCCACATTGGTACACATATACATTTGCTGTATACAGATATACACAGAGAGCAGCGGTATGTGGGGGAGCCACAAAGCCCCCCAGCGGCCCCTCAGGCCATAGGGCAGTGAGGGGCACATTCCTGTCAGCCCTGGGGTTGGGGGGAGGCAGGGGCTGCGACCCCAGGAGCTAACATCGCTTTCACAAAGCCTTTGAGAGTAAGCATGGGCGAGCAGGAACCTCTTCTAACATAGCACCATCCTCAGGGTTTCCCTGACAGGCCAGGGGTGCAGGCAAGTACCCCCTGGATTACAGACAGATGTGCTGCTGGCAGGCATGCGAGCTGGGGGCAGAACATGGAGAAAGCCTCCCGTCTACCCACAGGTCATTGCCAAACCATCGCAGCCACAAAAGGGGAACTGGGCCCCAGCTGAGGTTAAGGTGAAATTTATTCAGATGGAGTTGGTTGCAGGGTGGGGATGGGGGATGATGTGCAGGGAGGCATTGCCCGGCCCAGGGATGCAGGCAGCTCTCCCAGCAGAGAGGGCTGAGTGGGAGAGCCCAACCCTGCCAAGCCCTTCTGGGCTGCCAGAGAGGGGGGACAGGGATAAGAACCATCCTGTTGGCAGCAAATAATTTAAAAATCAAACTGGAACAACCCAGGAAACCTCCATGTGGTAAAGGGGGTACACCTTGGTGGGAAGTGGTTTCCCATTTGATATAAATTTCACCTTAACGACAATAAAAATGGTGTGAAATGAAAAACCCGTGAGCAGCATAAAGACACATTAGAAATAGCACCAGGTTCCTGCCAGGGACTGGTGGGTACGTGGCCCCTGCCACAATGGGCAGCCCAGCCCAGCCCCAGCTGGGGTGGCAGCCGGGCCCCACCTCCAGGCAGCCCTGCCTGCCAGGACACTGCCCACACCTACACCTTTGGCTGCCCTCCTGTCTTGCCACTGGCAACATCACGGGCACCTGCGGAGAGAGGCGAGGTGGTGTCAGAGCCGAGGTCAGGGACCAGCATCGTGCCCCCAGCTCTGCACTGCCAAGCCCACGGCACCGGGTGGGGATGCTGCCAGGCCTGTGCCAAGCCCTGCCTACCTGCCCCTGGGTGCTGCCTGCAGTGCAGCTCACACTCCTCCTTGCTGTCGAAGCGGTTGAGGTTGCCCTGGCAGCCGCTGTAGACAAAGGGCCGGCACTCCGTGACTCTTTGGTTGTAGTACCAGCGCAGGGTGTAGTGCTGGCAGTGCCCCTCGTCCAGAGGCAGGCTGCAGGGCTCAGCTGCGGGGGCAAACAGTGATGGTGAGGGCAGGCTGGCAGCACACCAGCCGTACCCACAGCCAGGCACACTTGGCAGAGGAGGGGAAACCCCAGAAGGAGAAGGCAGGGGATGGTTCCCAGCTGAGCATGGGCAGGGTTTGGCTGGAGGGGCCATCTCTGTGCTCTGCCCAAGCACTGGAAGTGAGGGCAGGAGATGCTGCTATGGGCAAGCCCTCTCCCAGGGGCAGCTACCAGCAAAGACAGAGCTGGATAGAGGTAGGAGGGAGGTGGCATGGGGACACGATGGTCACAGCACACCTTGGAAGGGTTGTGGAGGGACCTTCTGCATTCTGCTTCCCTGATCTCCTGGGGCCCTGGGAACCCATCCTGCAGCTTGTGACCAGGAGCACAGGAAACCTGCCAGGGGCAGCAGGTCCCACCAGCAAACCCCCCATCACTGCTGGTGATGGCTTCAGTGAGGGGAACAGAGTGTGAGGTCTGCATGGTGTGTGCAGCACTGTGCTCTGATGGGGAAGGCACAATGTGCCCTGATACCAGCAAGAGGGCTGCAAATCCTAAATCCCCACAGCCATAGGGGCATAGGGACCCATAGGGATCCATTGCCAACCAAAGGCCTGGGGCAGCCCTGGGGTCACCCCAGGTCATCCTCAGAGTCAGGGAAACTCACCATCCATTGCAGGTTGCTCTGAGCTGTCCATCTCCGGGGCCCCATCAAATTCCTCCTCATCATCATACATGCTGTCATACTCAAGGTCATCTGTGTCGAGGTTGATCTCCCTGTCCTGCCCTGGGGGACAGCACCAGGCATGAGCAGCTCTTGCCATGCTCATGGAGTAGGGAAAAAAGAGGACAGGGAGATGACAGACCCTCCTCCTCTTCAGTGTGTGACAACTTGAGCACAGGGACTGTGTGAGCGCTGCCAGCAGGGAATGGCTCTGTGAAGGGGAAGAACATGGCACAGGCATCAGGGAAGAGGTGAGGGAGTCTGGGGCACTTTCCACTTCCTTCCCAGGGGAAGCCCATGCCTGTCAGGTGCAGAGCAGTCCAGCACTGCCTCAACACTTCTGCATCCTGAGAGGATACATGGACAGGGGTTGGGGACCTGGGAACACCCCCTCCTGTCTGTGCACCACAGACCAGGGCTGCCAGGGGCTTCTGGAGAAGGAACAGGCTCGAGAGGCCTGGGGAGACAGCATTCCCACTTGGAGCCCAGCAGGATGGGGACAGGGGAGGGAACAGGCAGGCACATGTGCCCATGGGGCCAAATATTGTAGGTCCTCTGGGCTCTCTGTCACCTGTTTGGCCATGCTCCCTCTCCTGGCGAACGATTCTTCCTCCTCCCTGGGCAGAGCGGAAGCTGCTCCTGGCCTGAGCCCCCCAGCCTCCTTGGAGAGAAAGCACCCACCTCATCCCAGCCCACCCCTTGCTTCCATCCCTCCAATCCCACTCCTCCAGCCCACCTTCCCTTCCAGCACTCCTGTTCCCTGTAAGATCCCTGCCCCAGCTCTGACACCCAAGCATGGGCAGAGTGCAGTCCTCGTGGTCCCTTCACAAATTGGGCAGACCCCAGCAGCACCTGGACCCCATTGGTACCATCCTGAGCCAGCTGCCCTTGGGGATCGCTGATGGACCATCAATCCTGCCACACACCATCCCTTCTCCCTCCGCACACTCCCACATGGATGCTGACCCAGACTGAGGGGGTCATGGAGGGCTTAGGCCACATCCAGCTCCCCAAAACTGGCAGCACCCCTTTGGTGCCACACGTGTGGGGCAGGGGGTAGAAAGGAAAAGCCGCAACCTGAATGCTCACGTGAATCCAGGTGCCGTGGGAAGTGGCCACCGCAGGCTGTGGGAGAGACAGGACAGGGGTCAGAGGCAGCAGGGCCAGACTCCCAGCCCTAGGGCAGCAGAGGGGGATGCTCACCACAGTGCTGGCTCATCTCCTGCCTGACGAAGGCACGGATCTCATCCTCCTGCCGGGCACACGGAGGGGCAAAGGTCCCATGTTGCAACGGGGGACAGTGCAATTAAAGAGGAGGAAAAACCCTTTCCCCAGGCCCCAGCAGAGCCTGGAGGTGGGGCAGCCCCTCCATCACTGGTAGTGGGATGGATCTAGTGCCCCTTCCCACCCCAGTGACCCAGGTGCCATGAGCCTATGCTGGCTCCCTCCTGGTTCCTTACCGTCATGCCTGGCTCCCCCTTCTCCCCACGGAGCCCACGGGTGCCGGGACTGCCCTAGGGACAGTAGAAAGGAGCTGGGACACTGGCTCTGGCTGGGCTTCACCAGGCAGGGCCAGGCACCCACTCACCCACCTGCTCTCCTCTCTCACCGGGGATGCCAGGAACGCCGCGTGCACCCGGCACTGACTGTCCAGGGGGGCCTCTCTCCCCCTGCAAAGGACACATGCTCAGGATCTGGCTGGTGGTGGTAGAGTCTCTCTGCTCTCCTCATCACTAAAGATGTGCTGCTTTCCACATCCCTGCACCATGGGGATGCCTGTGCAGGTTGGGATGGGGATGGGTCCAGCTCAACTCAAGGACAAGCAGGGTCCCAAACCCCTCAGGCTCCTATCCACTGGGCAGGGGGACTCAAGGGAGGACCCCAAAACCAGCGAGCCAACAGGGCAGGATAGGCCAGGACATAACTTCAGATGCCACCAACACCTTTCCCACTCAGGGGACTGGACCCTCCCTTCCTAACAGCCCCCCTAGAGAGATCAGTCCCCCATGGTGAGGACTCACCTTCTGGCCTTGCATGCCCTCAGGACCTCGTGGGCCAATGCTCCCTGGAGGTCCAGGGGGGCCAGGAGCACCATCACTACCCCGGGGACCAGGGCCACCGATAATGCCAGGGGCGCCCTGCAGGAGAGCAGAGGGTGAGATCAGCGGTGTCAGAGCCCCTGACCCCAGAACAGGTGCCCCATAGCTGGGCATCCCTGAAGCACCAGTATTGGTGCTTATTTGTAAAGAGTGGGGAGAGTTGTTGTCACTCATAGTTTAGTGATATAATTTAGAGCAGCGCCAAATGACTCTTCTGGGAGCATCAGGCTCTGATGTGCTTCTGACCAAGGCTGTATCCTGGTACAATCAATGGGGTGCAATGCATCCCATCTCTCTAGTTCACTCACCCGGTCTCCTTTCTCCCCCTGATCTCCTTTGGCTCCCTGCTGCCCATCAAATCCCCGGTCGCCCTGCAAAGAGGAAGGGACAGGCAGCGGGGGACAGGCAGCGGGGGACAGGCAGCGGGGGACAGGCAGCGGGGGGACCAAAGTGCCAGCACAACTTTTCCCAGCACTACTCTGACCTACCTTGGGTCCCATGAGCCCTTCCTTCCCGGGGATGCCCGGTGGTCCCGACAGACCCAGCTCTCCCTGGGGAACAGAGCAGATGTCCAGCAGCCATAGGCCGTGTGCTCCCGTCCCACCCTGCTGTCAGTGCGGTACTCACCGGCTCCCCTTTCCTCCCTGACAGCCCTGAGCGCCCCGGGATCCCTGGATCCCCCTACAGTGGGCAGGAGAGAGGCAGGGCAGTCAGTCCTGCACCCATCAACACTCACCCCACAGCCACAGGCTGAGGAGAGGACCTCATGACCCTATTGCGGGGTCAAGGTCCAGCCTCAGCCATCTCCCTGCTCCCGCTGGCTGGTGGAGGGGATCCAAAGGCCACAGCCTCCAGGCAACATCCAGGCTCCTGCAGCACCCTGCGGGCACCCACTCACCTTCTCACCCTTCTCCCCATTGAGGCCACAGGCACCTTTCATGCCCCGGTCACCCTGTGAGGATGAGGAGGGGAGTCAGAGCCATGCCAAGCTGGCACTGGTCCTGACCAGGAGAACCCCAGAAGCCAGAGAGGACAACCCACCTTGAGGCCTCGCATGCCTATGGGTCCCATGTCCCCCTTCTCTCCCCGAGCTCCAGGGATCCCGTCACGGCCAGGCTGACCCTGTGGGAGAGCACACAGCATGACAGGGGTCCGCTCCTGCCACGCAGCAGGGTGACAGCACCACCAAGACATAGCTCCTCACCGGCTCACCAGGCTCTCCCAACGCTCCAACCTCTCCCTGGGGAAGGCAAAGGCATCGGTCAGGGCAGGCAAAGGGGATGGTGCCACCAACATCCCCCAGCAGTGGGGGGAGCCCAGCTCCTTACCTTCTGCCCGCCAGGGCCGCGTGCCCCAGGGAAGCCTGTGGAGCCCTTCTCGCCTTGCTCACCCCTCATCCCCTGCAAGCAAAACCCCAAATCAACACAGGGCAGGAGGGAAAGCTCCAGCCAGCTGTGGTCACTCCTGAGGCTGGATCCAGCAGCTCTCCTTGCACCATGTCAGGGTGCCCACAAGCATCAGCCCATGGGGCACAGGGATGCCATCATGTCCTGCTCATCGCCCTCTCAACAGCCCTCCACGGTCCCCAGCCCAGCCACCCCCAGTCCTGCACAAGCCCCCCCAGCCCTGTACCTTCTCTCCAGGCATGCCTTGCTCCCCCTTGTCCCCCTTGTCCCCTTCTGTGCCCTTCAGGCCTCGGTCTCCCTGCAAAGGGGAAAAACAGGGAGGGGTCAGGGGATGGGGAGAAGCTCAAACACACATAAGGGTGGGGGGACAGATCCCCCGTGGGCAGGAACAAGGGAGTCCATAGCCAGGCTGAAGGAGAGGGTCCCTCAGCAGGAAGAAGCTCTCTCAGCACCTCCCAGAGGAACAGGGAGGATGGGGAGAGGGAGGTTAGGGACACCTCTTACCGGTTCCCCTTTGCTGCCCCGTGCTCCAGGCGGCCCCTCTACCACCACAGTATCTCCCTGTACACCCAAAGGAGAGAGAGGCGGGGATGAGCAGGGGGGCCAGGGCTGCTCTCTGCTCTCCCACTGCTCCCCTGCTCCGGGGACTCACCTTGTCTCCTTTAGGTCCTGGGGCCCCAAGGTCCCCCTGCAAGGAAGGTGAGATGCTGCAAGGATGCACAGCAGGGAACAAGCAGCACCTCCCTGGAGACCCCAGTCCCTGGAGGTGCATCATTTGCCCCCTCAGCTCCCCAGCTCTCAGATTCCCTTACCTTGTCCCCACGCTCCCCCCGGTTCCCAGGCAAGCCCTGTGGGAGAAAAGAGAAGGGTGGTCAGGGAGGGGCCTGGATTGGGGTGTAGCTGGGGAAGGGAGGTACTTACCACTGGCCCACGATCCCCTTCTGGCCCTGGGCGACCGTCTTCACCCTGCAAGAAGGAAGGGATGCGAGAAGGGGGTTTGGAATGGGGACACCCCAGCATCATCTCACCCCAGGAACAGGTGCAGCTCTGGCTCAGAGTCCCCTCAGGGTTGACAATGAGAGATTTCCTGTCCCTGGCTGTGGGGACATGGGGGGCTCTGGCAGTACCTACCCGTGGCCCCGGGTCTCCACGCTCGCCTCTGGCTCCTGGCAGCCCAGCTCCTGGAGCGCCCTGCCAGGGGAAGGCAAGAGTTCATCCCTGTCCTCCCAGCCCTGTCATGTACCCCCCATGCCTGGGGACACCCCACAATCCCCAGCACCTCCCCAGGTGGCTGGCACTTGTTCAGGCTCTCATGTGCCACCATCCAGAGTCGGTTTAACACTCTTATGGGGGAAGTGGCTGCAGGAACACCCCACAAGAGAAGCAGCCTCACACCCCTCATGCTATTGGGTTGTCCCCATCCTACCTTATCACCCTTCACGCCAGGGGCCCCTTGTATGCCCTAAAAGAAAGGAGAAGGGTGAGCAAGCCACAGGAGGAAGACAATGCCAGGTGCACTGCGAAGCAGTCCTGAGACTCCCACAGCAGTTCTCACCCAGTACCACAGATCCTGGCAACCCCCAGGCTTAAGGGCTGGGGAAGTGCACGGTGAGTGCCTGTCACCTTCTCTGAGCCAGCAGGGGAGCCAGGGCAGAGCCTACAGCCCCAGGACTCCTGTGGCATCATACTCACAGCCGGTCCTGGTGGTCCCACAGGTCCTGGTGGTCCAGCAGTGCCATCTCTGCCTGGAAAGCCGATCAAACCCTGGCAGGGAAAAAAAGGTGAGTGGGCAGGGACTGTGGCTGGGAGGCAGTGGGGCTTGCAGAAACCTTGCTGAAACAGCCCAAGGGTCCAGGGTTACCAGGTTTTGGTTGTAGTCTTTACCCTCTCTCCTGGGGGACCTGGAGGGCCAGGCTGCCCATTGTCCCCTCTCAGGCCTGGCTGTCCTGGTGTCCCAGCAATGCCTGCTAAGCCTGGGGGTCCTGGTAATCCTGGTAAGCCAGTGTCCCCCTGAAGCAGGGAAGAAAGAGATGGGGCCCACAAAAACAGCCCCTTAGCACTGTGTTTTTCTCTTGGCCAGCCAAGCTGGAGCAGCACCTGGGCACTGGGAATGTGATGAGAGCCAGGCTGACATGGGGACAAGAATTACCTTCAAACCTGGAGGCCCATCCTGTCCTGGCGGTCCCCGTGCACCGACACCTGGTGATCCCTGTGTGGTGGCAGAGAGCATGTGACACATCTACTGGCTGGTGGGCACAGGGGTGCCAGGAGCACTGCCACCCAGGGCTGGGGAGCCCCTCTGGGAGCAGGGAACATGTACCTTCTCCCCTTTGGCTCCAGAAGACCCCTTGGCTCCCTGTGAAGAGATCAAGTCCCCAGGAAGGGCTGGGCAATAGGTGACAAGAGCACAGATCCCACACCCTGACAGCAGCCACTGCCCCAGGCATCCTCCCCAGCATCCACATGCCTCCTACTCACATCTTCCCCAGGATCTCCTGGCTCCCCGAATCGTCCTGGCTCCCCCTGGCAGGATAAAACAATGAAAAAGCAGGTATATGGGACAGTGGATTGGGGAAACAACTGCAGCTGGATCCCCACACTATGGCCAAGCAGCCAGGAAGCTGGGGCCCCCAAAGCCCCCTCCCAACCATCCTCCCTTCTTCAACCATCACCCACCTTCTCGCCCTTAGGGCCTGGCAAGCCTCTGTCACCCTTGGAGCCCTGTGGGGGGAGAGCAGTGTAAGGAAAGGGGGTGGCCACAGGGTTGGCTTTTCCCACAGAAGGCAGGGGTGGTGGGAGAGGGGTATGAAGTTAATGGGGGGAGACAAAATTAATGGTGGGAGAAAGGTTAATGGAGGGAGATTAGGTTAGTGTGGGTGATGAGGTTTATGGGGCCAACTCACAGGCTCTCCCAGCACACCCTCCAGCAGCGCCGGCTCTCCCTGCAGGGACACACAAGTGATAGGATGTGCCCACAGCAGATGCCGGCACCCTGCAGGCTCCTGCCTACCCCAGCCCTGGGGCTTTGGCAGCTCCCAGGGGTGGGGGTTCCCCCACCTCCCACCCTGGCTCCTCACCTTCTCGCCTTTGGGGCCGGGGGGGCCAGTGATGGCCTGGGGCAGAGAGGAGAGAGGGGGCAGGTGAGCAGGGCTGCATGGGGATGCTCCCCCTCATCCTGGCCAGGAACACGGGGCAAGGCAGCCCTGCACTCACCTGCCCTGGGGCTCCAGCATCCCCTGGCTCTCCCTTGGGACCGGCAGGGCCCGAAGGCCCTGGCATGCCCTGGCACAAGCAGCACAGTCCTCAGCCTCAGCTGCAGACACCCCAGGCTGAGCCACGTGGGGCTCCCACTGGGACAGGGTGAGCAGCAACATACCATCTTCCCAGGCATGCCCGCCTCGCCGTCCTTCCCTGGCACACCATCCCTGCCTGGCACACCCGGCTTCCCACTCTCCCCCTGTAGACAGTAAGAGTGGGATGGGGCCGTGGGGGTCCCACAGCCCCCCAGGCAGCCTCAAGCACCTACAGTGATGGTAGCCGAGCAGGAGGGACACAAAACACTCACCACTTGTCCTGGTTGCCCGGGGACACCCGGTGGGCCCTGCAATGGAGACATGAGCAGAAATCAAGCAACATCCCAGGCACCAGGAATGGCCAAGGAACAGGTTCAGAGGGTTGCAAATACTTACCCCTGGACCAGGGGGGCCAGGGGGCCCTGGCAGCCCCATGCTGCCCTGGGGACCAGGCAAGCCCTGCAATGGAAACGGCCACATCAGAGAGGGGATGGGAGAGCCAGGACCTCAGCTGCCCCTGGGGGAAGGTGTGTTGAGGGGGGATGGCTGATTCTGGGGAGGCCAGATGGCTTTGGAGGGGCCAGGTGGGTGCTGGTAGGGATGGTGTGAGTACTCACACGGATGCCAGAGCCAGGCTCCCCTGGATCACCCTGAAAAGAATGCACTTGCATTAACCCAAAACAGTTCCAACCTACCGGCTGCTGCAGTCACAGCCATGTCTCCACATCTGTATCTAGGCTGAAATGTCTGAAATGTCCCTCCCTTCAGCCCTAAAATTCCCAAAACGTGGCCCTCCCTCCCTTTGCAAATCTGGCAAAGCACCACTTCCCTATGCCAGGTTGGAGATGGCAATGCCAATGCAGATGCCAACGCCGGTGCCATACCTTGGTCCCAGCTGGGCCCTGGGTCCCTGGTGGGCCAGTGCTGCCCTGCAGAGAACAAGGGGACATTACTGGGGTGCTGCTTGCTGCTGGCCCAGGACAGGGAGAGAGCAGCAGGGCTACTCAGTCCCAGCACTGCCACCCCACCCCTGCTCCCTGGGGGAACACCCAGCCTGGCTGACCTCCCCCTTGCATGACAGTCCCCTGCATGAGGTGCAGGGTGGCACCTTACCGGAGGTCCTGGGGGTCCTGGGTCTCCCTGGTTGCCCTGAAGGGAGGAAGAGATGGGGTCACTTCAGGGAGGGGGTTTCCCCCAGTGGGATCATGAGTGAGGAGACCCAGACAATGCCAGTGGCTCTGGAAAGCACCCACACCAAGTAAGACAAGCCTAGATGGCTCCTGCTAAGATGCAGGGGGCCAAGCACCCACCCTGGCAGCAGCATGACCCCACCAAGAGCTCATGGCCAGGATCCCCCAAGTGTGTGCTGAGGTGGGGGAGGCACAGGGACATGGGGGACACACAGACACCTACCGGGCGTCCCAGCACTCCAGGGAAGCCTGGCAAGCCCTGCAAAGAACCACATTAGAGTCAGCAGGCAGGCAGGAATCCACCACTCCCACACAGCCCTGCCTCTCCCCCAGGGATGCTCCCCATTCCTGGTGTGTGGTACTCAGCCAGGGTACTTACAGGGGGTATTTGTGTAGGGAAGCCCCCTAAAGGCCTGCAGGGCCTGCATGGGGTGGGGGGTAAGGAGATGAAAGAGGCATGTATGCTCCCACTGGTGTTGGTGGAAGCTAGTGTGGGACCACAGGACCTTTCCCCGCTCCCAGCCTGCATCCCTCCACCATGTCACCACTCACCGGCTTCCCTTCGGGGCCAGCCAGCCCTCTCTCACCAGGAAGACCCTGGAGCAAGAGATGGAGACAGGGTCAGTGCCAGGCATGAGGCTAGGGTCAGTGCCAGGCAGGGGAACAGTGCAGTACTCACCGGGGCACCATCCCTGCCCTTCTCGCCAGGCTCCCCTCGGTCACCCCGCAAGCCACCTTCACCCTGCAGTGGAGACAGGCACAGAATCACAGGACAGGCAGGGACCTTCCTGTGACGTTCCAGGGCCTGCTGACACCCAAAGAGGGGTGCCCTCAGCAGTGCTCCCATGCAGGGCTTTGCTCCATGGGGCTACTGGTTTGGCAATGGGAGAGTTATGACCTCAGACCTTATCTCCTTTGGGTCCCCGCTCACCCTCGACTCCAGGCTCACCCTGTATTGGGAAGAAGATGGATGCAATCAGCCCCTGCTGTTCTTCTACCCTGCTATCATCCTCAGCCCCAGCTGATCATGTTGCCCTGGCTCTGTTGCCTTGGCTGCCCCTCTCCTCCCTGTCCAGCCACACACCTTCGCTCCCTTGGGTCCAACAGGGCCGCGCTCGCCAGGGAAGCCCATGAGGCTGCCCTCCGCCACGTCCACCTGTGGGCAGGGAATAGTCAAGGCCAGCACTCAGGGGACCCCAAGAAAGTCCCCTCAGGGGCACAGCCCTCCCCAAGTCCCTGTGCCAAGGGACTGGACATGACCGTCCATCCCCAGAGGTGCAGGCTGGCACCTGGAAGATGGTCACCAGCAGCAGCTATCACCTACCTTGGGTCCTGGGGGTCCTTGGGGTCCGGGCAAGCCATCCCTGCCCTGGGAAGGTAGAGAAATAAACTGAGCACCAAAGGGGACAATAGGGCATGGGGGAGCAGAGCCATCCTGGTATGGCCACTCCTGGCCTCCACAGGGCATCTACCAGCCCATCTGAGCACCCTGTGTCCCCTCAAGTGGGGCACAACACAATGGGAGATGGAGTGAACCATCTGCCTCTCCCAGCTCACCTGCTCACCTCGGTCGCCCTTCTCACCCCGGTCGCCCTGTGAACACAACATGATGGCTGTCACAGCACTGTCCCCAAGCCCCTGGACCAGGTCCCCCAGCCTTCCCCTCGCACTTCTACACAAACTCACCTTCTCACCAGGCCGCCCGGGTTCCCCCAGCTCCCCAGCCCGGCCTGGCACCCCGGGAATGCCTGGCTTGCCAGGCTCCCCAGCCTGCCCAGGCGGGCCCTCGGGACCCCGCTCACCCACGGCCCGGCCCATGGGGCCCTGGGGGCCAGGGGTGCCTGGGTCCCCCTTGTCACCTTTGGGTCCTCGTTCGCCAGGGAAGCCTAAAGAGCCCTGCAAAACATAAGCCATGCTGCAGAGACAGCCCTGCAGATGTCAGCCCCCCCGAGCCCCCCAGGGCTCAGTTGGCCCTCCCAGACAGAACAGGTAGCAGGAGTGGGGCAGCATGCTGGGGCTTGGCATCGAGCCTGGCTCTGCTCACCTCTCGGCCTGGGGGACCCCTCTCCCCTGGATCCCCCCGACTGCCCTTCTGGCCCCGCAGCCGCTCGGACACTGGCAGAAATGAGTCTGAGCTCCCATCATAGGCACCCGTGAGCTCCTTCAGGGATGAAACCTGGGAGGGAGAAAAGACCCACCAGTCAGGATATCAGTGCAACCCAGCAGTGGCAGCACCCCACAGCCCTACTAAGGTGCCCTGGATGGCTCTGATCTCCCACCACCTACCGTGTCCCCCTCCTGCTGCCACATGGCAGGAACAAACCCCAGCCCAACAGTGGGGAAATACATACCTTGATGCCAAGAGCTTCCAGGCTACGCTCAACATTCTGCAGTAAAGACATTAAAAACCAAGTGGGTGTTAGCCTGCTCCCACTGTCGGGGCTGTGGACAGTTCTCTGTCCCCCAGAGCTGATGTCCCAGTCCAGCAGGAAGGATGGGGACTCACCACTGCAGTCCCAGGGTCTCCACGTACTCCAGGGCTGCCAGGTCGCCCCTAGGTTTGCAGAGAAAGAGGGAATGGAAAAGATTTGCAGAGGTGCATTAGGTAAGGTGAGCAGTGCTGGTGCTGCTCTCAGAAGGTTTCAGAGTTAACACTTTTGGTGTTGCCTGGACAGGGGCTGTGGTTGCCACCACCCTGGGGTGCTGGCAAGTTGTCAGGCTCAGTGCTGGGTACTCACGGGCTCTCCTTGCAGTCCGGGCTCCCCTGGGTCCCCCTGAAACACAGCAAAGGGGTCAAGGGGGCAGAGTCAGCTGCCTGGCACCAACTGCAGCACCAGGGTCCAGCCCTGTCATCTTGGGAGCCTGCCAAGGACTTGTTCCCTCTGGCACAGGGTCCCCCAGACCTTTGCCTTGAGGGGCTCTGCAGCAGGAGCACACTTACCTTTGGTCCAGCCACCCCACGGAGGCCTGGGGAGCCCTGGAAGACACAGAGGGGACACAGTGGCACCCAGAACCCATGGACACAGGGCAGTGCCCTGAGGGAGCCATGGACAGGGGTCCTGCCTGGCTCACAGTAGCCTGGATGAGGGTCTGGTGCTGGATGACACTGTGGGCTCGAGAACTACTCACCTGGCCTGGGGGGCCGACCTGCCCTGGGACACCGGGGAGGCCAGGGGGGCCAAGAGGGCCTGGCACACCTCTGTCCCCCTGCTCACCCTTGGCACCACTGCGGCCCTGACGAGAGAGCTGTGTCACCCCCAGGACCTGGGACCCAGGTCTGTCCCTGGCAGGGACATGTACTCAGCACCCCCCATCACCACACTCCTCTGCAGGGAGTACTCACCTCTCTACCAGGTGGTCCCATATCACCTTTGTCTCCCTAACCAGGAGAGAAAGGAGTTAGAGGGATGCTGCCCCATTCACGTGCCCCAAAATGATGCTCCTGGTCCAGGCAGGGAAGAGCCACCAGGCTTGTGGGCATCACACGGTGACCATGCAGGGACCACACAGAGACCACCCATGGCTCATCTCCTTACCTTTCTCCCATCCTCTCCTGGTGTTCCATCTTCTCCCTGCAGGCAAAGGCTGCCAGTCAGAGCCCGACTTGAGCATCGTCAAGTGTGGTGCCACTTGGGCACCACACAGGACAGGGGTTTGGCTCAGAGCTCTGCCACATCCTCCCCTCGCTTTTGTGCTGTACTGGAATCGCTGTCCCTCAGCACCCCTGGGAGAGCTCCAAAGCCCAGCCCTGCTCCCCCTACTCACATTCTTGCCGTTGAGGCCGGGTTTGCCATCCTCACCAGGTTTGCCCTGGGAGGAAGAAAAGGCAGTGAGAGAGGCCCCCTAGCTCTCCACCAGCCAGGGGTCCCTGGGCCCCACTGCAGCCCCAGGGTGCAGGGAGTGGGGAGCTGGGCACAGGGCAAGCCCTGGCAGATGGATCCAGCTGGGATTCAGCAGAGGGCATGGGGCAGGATGTGTCCCCAGGGTGCAGGGTGGCTGGTACTTACAGGGATGCCAGGTGGTCCCAGTGGGCCAACAGGGCCAGGCGGTCCCTGCTCCCCACGCAGCCCAGGCAGCCCCTGCAGGGAAAGGAGATGGGAGGAGCACAGGGCAGCAGGGCTTCCATCTGCCCCAGCCAGCTCTGGGAGGAGGGAGTGTGACTGGGACAGTGGCACCCTGCTGGGGACAGAGGAGGGTCCTGCTGCACTGCCCCAGACCAAGAGGAATGGAACAAGACATCAGTCCCTTGCAAGTACAATGGCCCCAGCAGGAGCACAGCCCAAACCCGCCCTCTCCGGAGGTACTTACATCCCGGCCAGGGTCCCCCTGCTTGCCCGGGTCCCCCTGCAGACAAGGAGAAGGTGAGGGCAGGGACACCCCTACCCTGCCAAAGGCTCCCCCAGGAGCATCCCCAGCCTGGAGCAGAGGATGCCCAGGGGAACAGCTCCTCTCACACCATTGTCCCTCCATCCCACAGCTCCCACCCGCAGTGGCCAGGGGCAGCTGTGTCCCCCACCCTGGACCATGATCATCCATAGCCCCCAAGGACAGCCGTGTCCCCCACCCTGGACCATGCTCACCCGCAGCCCAGCAGGGCCCGGTGGCCCAGGTTTGCCTTCCAGCCCATTGCGGCCATCCAGACCTGGTGGGCCACGGTCTCCCTGTAAGAGAGTAGGGCAGGAGCGTTGGAGTTGTGAGATGGGATGGGGGTGTCATGGGGCAGCCTCCAGCCCCCAGCCCCCTCACCTTCTCTCCTGGAGGGCCTCGGTCCCCAGGATCACCCTGTGGGGTGGGAAGAATAGTGAACATCATCTCCCATGAACAGGAGATGAACAGGGCACAGGTCCCCTACCCAGACCCCCATGAGAATGAGGACACTCACCCGAGCACCAGGGGAACCACGGGGACCCTCCAAACCCTGCAAGAGAGAGACACACTCAGCACTGGGGTGTGGCGGGAATAGGAGGGAATCGTGGGTGCTCACCCACCACCCCCTGCACACCAGGATCCCCAGCTCTCCTGCAGATCATCATCGCCTGTCCCACACCTGGGACCCAGCACCTACCCTCTCTCCAGGCAGGCCAGGGGAGCCGGCATCGCCCCGGGCGCCCTTCGCACCATCCTCGCCGGGGTCCCCGGGGTCCCCCTGCCAGGGAAGGGCACGGTGGTCAGAGGGTACTGCCCTGTGCCGAGCCCATGCCTGAGCACACGCTGAGCACCTCTGTCATTTAAGGGTGGGATGATAGCAAGGGTCTCAAAATGAGAGATTGAAAAAGAGGTGACTGGACTCAACACGGCCCCTGAGGGGCCAGAGAGCGGTCGCAGAAGAAATGCACTGGGTAGCACTGCTGAGCCAGGAGCCAGCTTGGCCATGGCTTGGGACCATGATGCCACACGGCACAGAGCACAGCCCCAAAACTGCCCTGAACCTAAGCTGGGCCTTAAATGCTGAACACCAAGAGGGTGGGGTGCTACCATGGGATCCCTATGGGGCTGGGGAGCCAGGACCATGCTGGCTCCTTTGGGAACCTCAGCCCTACAGGGACCTTGAAAATGGCACTCTCCTCTCAGCACTGCACAGGAGTGTCAGCCCAGGTGTCCCCCAGATCCCATATGCCCCCCAGATCCCATGTGCCTCTCAGCTGTGGTGCACATTAGCTCTATGTGGCAGGGGCTGTTTTGGGCAGGGAGGGCTTGATGGACCATGATCCCAGTGCCCAGCCAGAGGCCAGCAGGGGACAGAAAAGCGTATCCCACCACAAACATCCCATCCATCGTTACCTTCTCACCCTTTTCCCCCACTCCTCCGAGCCCCACGTCCACCTGTGGGGTAGAGAAGACCTGTCAGAGCACTTGGGGCAGGGCAGTAGCCCATGGGCAGGGAGAAGAGAGGGTAGAGCTTACGGTTCGTCCTGGAGGTCCAGCAGGCCCCTGAAAGAAGGGTGAGGGAAGTGGGTTAAGGGGAGCTGGCACAGCCCCAGGGAAGGCAGGGCTGTCTCTGGGGTGGGGGCCATACATGGCCCAGCGTCACTCACCGGCTCCCCACGGTCACCCTTGTTCCCTGGTGCTCCAGGGCTGCCCTGTGGGAAAGAGGAATGGCATGAGAAGGGGACAGAATGGAGGACCCGTGGGGTGGTGGTACCCCTGGGGTAAATGTGGGTGCAGGGTGATGGGGTGTGAGGTGTGGTGGTGCCCATGGAGCAGTGGGCACACACGAGGGGTACTCACATTCCTGCCTTCAGGACCTGGGTCACCTGGGTCACCCTTCTCCCCAGGGAGGCCTCGGTAGCCAGGGAGGCCCTGGTTGGAGGGCAGAGGGAAGGCATGCATTAGCAGGAGCCACCCCAAAGGCCACAGGCATCTCACCTGCTCCAGGGTGCGCCCAGCCCCACACTTACCCGGGGACCCCTGTCTCCAGGTTTGCCAGGCGGACCTGCTTCACCCTGTGGGGAAAGAGGGAGTGAGTGGGGGGCAGTGGGGAGGGGGACAGTGGTCCTGGGGGGCCCTCACTTACCGGGGTACCTTCATCACCCTTCTCTCCTCGTTCTCCCTGCAGCACAGGTCAGCAGGCACCAGCCAGGGTAGAAAAGCACACGTTACCAGCATCACCCTGCTCCCTGCCAGCCCCCCATCTCCACGGGGCCACAGTGCCCCATGGCCCCTGGTCCCACCTCCCCTTTGCCCCATACTACCTCCTTGCCTCGCACCCCAGTCTGCCCTGGAGTGCCTGCTCGGCCCGGTTCCCCCTTCTCCCCTGGCTCCCCCGGGTCACCCTAGGCAAGGGAAGAGGCAACAGGTCAGGGCAGTGTGGGGGCAGCACATGGGCTGCCAGGGGGAGAAGACAGTCCCTCCAGAGCCCGATGAACAGATGAATGGATGGACAGATGGACAGAGGGCAGTGTCTCCTGCAGTGACAGTACCTTTGGGCCACTCCTGCCTGTGAGGCCAACATTACCCTGGTTGTTGAAGAGAAGAGCATGTGTCACTGGGAACCTCAGTGATCCCGGACCAGGGTAGGGACCAGAACCATGAGCCAGTGCCCTGGGGTGCACTCAGACTCACCCGATCGCCCTGCTCGCCTTTGGGACCAGCTGGTCCCGGGATGCTCAGGCCAGGGGCACCCTAGACACAAAAGGATGCAGCGTGAAGCAATGGCACAGACACCACGAGTACAGGGAGGGAGGGCTGTGCCATGTGCCCTGTGCCTCTCATCCTCAGGCAGTACTCACACGGGCACCTTTATCTCCTGTATCACCCTTGGGGCCAGGAGGTCCTTCTGGTCCTGGGAATCCTCTGTCACCCTGGAGCAAACAAAATCAGCACCCCAAACCACCCCCTTTTTCCCCACTGCAGCTGTGAACAGCCAGGCCTCGGACTAGGACAAGTAAAAAGGCCAGTCTTCGTGAACGAAGAACCGGGGAAGGTCTTTACACCTTCCAGCCTGAGCATTGGATTTTTTAGGTGAGACACAGTGTGCGCGGAACTGAGCCCACCCTTTAATCCTAAGGTTCATCTGCCGGGGCCAAGTGAGCTTGGACGGTGGCAGCGAGGTCCTCAGGACGTGGATGGATTGCCTTACGGGCTAACGAGCTCCATCTGCCCGGGGAGTGGCCCCGACCAGGAATCGAACCCGGGTTTCGGCAGTGACAGTGCCACGTCCTTAACCTCTAGACCACCAGGGGCTCCCATACTAGGACAAGTATCCCCTCAGGTAAATGCCCATCTTTACAATCCCCCTCCCAGGCCATGGCCATGTCCAGAGGATGCTGTTGCAGAACAGGAGGGCACAGCTAGGTCAGGGTTACCTTCTCTCCTCCAACACCAGCCACGATAGGAGCCTGGGGGGGAAGCAGAGGAAACTGTGCTGGGCACTGCCTGTTGCTCCCTGTCCTGGGGCTGGGACAGGCAGAGGTGGACCCGCTGGGCAGCATCACTTACTGGCTTGCCAGGTGGTCCTGGATCGCCCTGTGGATAGAGAGGTGTCATCACCAGCCCCTTCCCCACCATCCCTGCCACCCCACTGGGACCCCACTTTGCCCTCACCTTCTCTCCCCGGGGGCCAGCCGGTCCTGGAGCTCCCTGTGGCAAGAGAAGAGACCTCAGGGGCTGGAAGTGCCTGGGGACATGACCCCAGGGCACGGCAGCCCCTGCTTCACAGCACCATGACTGCTGCCTCGACTCACCTCTCTGCCTGATGGCCCTGGGCGCCCCGGGGCTCCTGTCTCACCCTGCAGGAAAGGAGGAAGGGGAAGGTGTCAGGGGAATCCTGCCACCCCATCCCAGAGTGGTTGCTCCACTGCAGAGCAGGCGTCACTGAGGCACGGCCAGAGTCACCCCAGCACACTAACCTTCTCACCCTCAGGGCCTGGCACACCACGGTCCCCCTACAGGGCAGAGGAAGGTTTCAGGGAGATTCCTCCCTCCATGCTACATTATTCCAATCCCACACACTGCCCCAGAGCCCTTCAGAGCCCAGCCCAGCATGCCATTCAAGACCACTGGGACACCTGGTCCTGCCAGTGCTGTTGAATGGCACAGTCCCTCTCTAGTGCCTTCTCACCTTCTCTCCCATCTCTCCCAGCTCTCCTGGTGCCCCACGGTCTCCCTGGTGCAGGAGGAAAACAGAGTCAAGGGCAGCAGGATCCATGGGGGGACATCATGGTCTGGGCACAGAACCCAGAACCCTTCTCATCCTGCCAAAGGCAAGGCGAGAGCATCCCTTCAGTCCCTGCACCACTAACCTTCCTGCCCTGCTCCCCTGGTGGTCCTCGAGGGCCCTGAAAAGGAGAGGGGAGACATTGTCACCTTTGGTGTGGCAGGGCAGATGGCCAGGCTATCCAAAGCGGGTGCCCTCAGGGCTTGGCTGACCAGCATGGCAGCTCCTGCCCGCCTTACCTTCTCTTAGGAAACTCACCCGATCTCCTGGGTCCCCGGGGCGGCCAGGAGACCCTGGGAAACCTTCTGTGCCATCACCCTGGGGATTAGGAAAGGTGACAGCCACTCCCATGACATGGGGATATCCATGAGGTGGGGATGGGCATCCCCCCCTGGAGAGTGGTGTGAGGTCCAGCCCCAGGAGGGAGCATCCTCTCTTACCTTCTCTCCCTTCAGGCCAGGGGGCCCGGCAGGTCCCCGGGGCCCGGGGTCCCCAGGCAGGCCCTGCAAGAGAGAACAGCTCAGCCCCTGGGGATGCAGCTTGGCCCTGGGGTCACAGCCACTGCAACCCTGTTCCCCTCTGCCATCCCTGCTGGCCTAGGAGCCAGACTCACCGGGGGTCCAGGCTCCCCTCGAGGTGCTGCCCCATCCACGAGTCCAGGGGGGCCCTGCAGAGACAGGGGTCAGCTCCTGTGTGGTTGCACTGGGGGTTCAGTCCTTCCCAGCATGCAGAGGGGCTGCAGTGCCCTTGGACACTCAAGGGATCTCCATCCAGGAGAGCAGAGGAGTCAGGGAAATGCAGAAACACTCACCCTTTCCCCTCGGTCACCCTTTTCTCCCTGTGAGGGCAAAATTGCAAATAAGGGCAAGTCTGTGCTCTTCCCATGTGCCCTCCTTGAATAGAAGGGGAACAAGCTGGGCAGAGCCCATCATCGCTGGTATCAGGGAACATGCACACCATGTGCCTCTCCCCACACTGCCCAGTGCCAGCAACAGCTCATGCAGGTACAAGTGTGTGCAGGCACAGCTGGTGGGGGCACAGCCCACAAGCAGGACCAGGAGGACTCCACAGGGGAGCAGCTCCAAGCTGGCTGTTCTCCCATCCATCTGCCCACAGATCCCTCCAGCCATTCCCACGCAGCAGCGGGAGGATGTACCTTCACAAACTCTCCTGGAGGTCCTGGTGGCCCCATGGGTCCAACTGGACCAGGGGGGCCTGGATCACCAAGGGGTCCCCGTGGGCCGGGGATCCCAGGGGGGCCAGGTCTGCCCTGGAGGACAGAGATGCTCCATTATTTGGGGTTTGATGTGGGCTATGGGTACCACATCCATACCCCCAGACCTACCGGCACACCTGGCTCCCCTCTCCGGCCCGGCAGCCCCTGTTCTCCGTCTGTGATCACCCTGGGCTCTCCCTGAACAAGAATGGAGAGAAAGAATCAGTGTCCCCATGTGCCCTATGTGGCCCCAGTGCAGGACAGGGGCCACAGTGCCACAAGACTGGGACTTTGGCATGGAGATGGGAAGACCCTGGGGTCACTCAGACACCAAATACCAGGAGATGCCAGGGGCCAAGATGTGTCCACCAGGGTCCCCCACTGCTCCCCAGGGACTGCCATGGGGCAGCCCCTGCTCATCACCTACCGGTTCACCTTTCTCCCCCTTTAGGCCAGAAAGTCCCATTGGCCCCCGTGGTCCCTGGGAACGAAAGGTGAGAGTGAGAGAGGATGTTGGGTGAGAGTGGGTCTGGGGAGGGCTTAGGGTCATACTCACAGGATCCCCTCGGGGACCAGGGACTCCCTGGATGCCCTGGAAAACAACAGCTCAGGAGGTGAATGCATGTCCCTGCCAGCTAGGGGAGCAGGGATGGGATGGGATGGGATGGGAGCAGGGATGGGATGGGATAGGATGGGAGCTCCAGCCAAAACAGGGATAGACAGTCCCTTCCCAGTACCCTTGGCTGGGTACACACACAGAAGACAGCTGTGACTTTGCCAGATAATGAGACAGTACAAAGAAAAGGTAGGCAGAGGCAGGCTTAGGGAGCAGGCAGGGTGATGGGAAGAGCCGACCATGCAGCAGCAAACCCAAGGGACATCCCCACTCACCGGCTGCCCAGGTGATCCAGGATTCCCTGGGCGTCCAGGGCTTCCCGGTGTTCCATCAGCTCCAGGGAATCCCTGTAGGAGAGAGGAGCATCACACCAGCACCTGATGTTCTCCAGCACTGCCAGACCCCGCCAGTGCCCCTGGCAGTGCTGTTCCTGGCACTGAGAGCCCAGAGCAGCCCCACAGCAGAGCTGAGTTTGGGGGTGCCTTTCCCCTGTGTATTGAGCTGGGGTGTGAGGGACCAGTGTGGGGCTGGACTGGGGTTCTTCAAGGGGATCCCTCCTCCAGCCTGGGTGAGAAGGAGAACAGAGGGATGAGGAGCAGAGACAGGCCCCAGGGGCCAAGTCACTGTGTGACCTGGATGAAGGAGTCAGCAGTACTCACCCTGTCCCCCTTCTTGCCTGGACGCTCAAAGCTCTCTCCTGGTGGACCTGGTGGCCCTGGGGGTCCTGAAGGGCCAGGCAGCCCATGGCGACCCTGGAGGGACAGTGGAGAGGATGGGCTGGGTGGTAGGTGGTGGTCAAGAGGTGCTCCCTGTCTGCCCCTGTGGTAAAGAGCTGGACAGGTTCTTGCCCCACTCCCACCTGCTGGCAGGACAAGGGGACAAGAGAACAAGGACATGGGAACTATGTCATTGCCCCTGCCAGCCATTTGTCTCCCATCTCCCCCACTTCAGCAGGATATTACCGGCTGGCCAGGGGGGCCTGGTGGTCCCACACGTCCTTGTTGTCCCTGTAGAAACAAAGCCAGCAGTGAGCATCCCCTTTTAGGCTAGCATCGGCATGGTTTAGGGGATGCAGGCCCCTCCAGAACCACCAGCTGGGTGGGGACACCAAAGTACTCACTGTCTCGCCGCGATCTCCCTTCTCACCCTGCAAGGGGACAGAGGGAAGGGGTTATGGGCTGGCACCCCTGTGTTTGACTCCCCACTGAGCTGCTGCCATTGGCAGCTTCCCCTGTCCACGGCAGACAGTGGGGATGCTCACCTTGGGGCACTGCACAGTGCAGGGCTTCGGTTTCAGTTCTGGCTCTGGCTGGCAAGACAAGACAAGCCTGTGTGAACCCCAGGGTTTGGAGAACCCCTGGCTTATATAGGGCTGCCCCCCTCCACACCCACTGAGGCACTCTGACCTTACCCTGGTGGAGATGATGGTGCAGAGGTCATCAGTGAGCTCTCCCTCCAGTTCTGTCAGGCTGTCTCCATGGTAGATGTACCGCGGGTCCTCACTGGTGACCATGCTCCGGAGCTGCTCCCGGTCTGCCCCCTCCAAGCCCACCGCCAGCACCTGCACCCCTGAGCCAAGAACACCCTCAGCACCCTACAGAACTCCCTGCACACCCTGCTGGGATCCCATCCATTCTCACCCCCAGCCTTGACGTCCCTGGCTGCAGCGATGGCATCGTCCCCAGAGGGGCCGTCAGCCAGGACCACCAGCACCGCTGGTACACTGGGCCGGCGCCCTGCGCCAGGGCTCAGCAGGTAGGTCCTGGCAAAGGTAATGGCTGCCCCTAGAGAGGGAGAAGGAGGAGGGGACAGTCAGCAGGATCCCAGCAGCCACTGCCCCAGCTCCCAGTGCAGCCCCTCACCGATGGCATTGCCGCTGGGCTCCTCGTAGCGCATGGTGCGGATCTGTTCCAGCACGGCGGGCAGGTCGCTGGAGCGGTTGAGGAGCAGCCAGGGCAGGCTGCGGTAGCTGTATGTGGCCAGAGCCACCTGCAAAGGTGCAGGGGAGCAGTGGGCACCATGGCCTGCCCATGCCCCCTGTGCCCCCACCGCTGCAGCAGCACCCTACCTGGGTGCCCTCAGGGCCCAGGCGCCCCAGGGCGGACACAGTGTTGGAGAGGAGGGTGCGGACAGTGTCGGCACCCGAGGAGCTGTCACGGGTGCCATGCACCAGAAAGACAACATCACCGCGGGCATCCCTGCAGACTGTGGGCAGGGAAGGGGTGAAGCCACCATCAGAGTGGAGACAAGCCCAGCCCACCCCTGCAGTGAGCACACCGTACCTGTGCGCTCGCTGACGGATGTCTCAGCGCCGGGGGCACTCCCCAGGAGCGGGCGGAGGGTGAAGGTGTAGAGCTGGCCCAGACGCAGCCCGGAGACCTGCTGGGAGCTGGCAGCGCCGGGCAGCGTCCGCCCCCTCTCCCCACCGGCTGCAGCCCAGGGCACAATCAGGGGGATCAGCAAGCCCCCACGAGGATACTGCCCACTGTCCAGGAGCCACCCCTTCATCTCACCTGCAGGAGGGCTCCAGGAAAGGATGTAGCCAGAGGCACCAGGGACTGGGGTCCAGGTGAGTGTCACTGAATCTCTCCGCACGTCTGTCACTCGCAGGCTGGTGATGTGGCCTGGGGTGGCTGCCAAGGAGGAGGAAAGGGTGTCCCAGCCCCATGGAGCAGCCTCCAACCTGCTCCCAGCTCCCTTCCCAGCCCAAGGCTGGGACAGCCCAGTTCCTGGGTGCCCGTCTGGGCTCAAGCCATGTGTCAGGGGGCGGATGCCACCTTGGCACCAGGCAGTCCCTTACCAGTGATGGCAGTGACAGTGGCTGGCTCGCTCTCTCGGCTACCGACCAGGCTGGTGATGCTGATGTGGTAGCGCCGGCCCGGCTCCAGCCCCGCCAGGTCATAGGATCTGGAGGTGGCTGGGAGTTGCTGGCTGCGCTGGGGCCCCCCTACCAGGGGCAGAGAGGGGTTAGCAGGTGGGAGTGGGGACTGGTGGGTTTGCAGGAGTGCTGGCCGGCCACGCTCACCTTCAGCCAGGCGCCAGACCAGGCGGTACCCAGTGCTGCCAGCTGCCGGCAACCAGGCCAGGCGCAGGCGGGTCTCCGAGGCTTCCGTCACCTGGAAGCCACTGACAAGGGGCAGTGGGACTGCCTCCGCTGTGGGGCAAAGGGGCAGGTGTTAGGGGAAGGGGTGCCCAGTGCTATCCTGGAGTGCTGCCCCCTGCCCGAGCACTCACGGGTGGTAACGACAATGGAGACGGGGTTGCCCTCCCGGTTGCCGATCAGTGCCGTCACCTTCACAGTGTAGGAGACACCTCCCTCCAGGTCGGGGATGTCAAAGGAGTTGGTGTGTCCAGGAACTCGCCGGCTATTCTCAGAGCCCCCTGCCAAGGACTGCGGCATCAGCCCACCCACCCTGCCACACTCACAGCCCAGCCCCATCCTCGTCCCACGTTACCGTCCCTACGGCTCCACACCACGCGGTAGGCGGTGGCTCCTGGCACACCAACCCAGGTGACACGGGCAACGTTGCTCCTGGATGCCTGCACCTCCAGCTGGGTCACTGTCCCCACCTGCTCAGGTGCTGTGACATCAAGAGGGCCACTGTCACCGAGGTTCACAACAAGTGACACCAGACAGCACTGACAGGCAGGAGGAAACCTCACCTATCCGTCCTGTGGCAGTGACAGGGCTGCCCTCGCGGCCATCCATGATAGCCGAGACACCGACGGTGTAGACGATGCCAGCACGCAGCCCCTCGATGGTGAAGATGGTGGGATCGGCAGGGAGGAAGCGGGATTGCTTCACACCTAACACAGATGGCTGGGATAGGAAGGGCTCTGGCACTGCCACCACAGCATCTCACAGTCCACACACTCACCATCGCTGCCTCGCCACGTCAGCAGGTATCCCCCAGCACCTGGTAGCCCTCGCCAGGTGACCCGCAGCTGGCTGGGACTGGCCTCCGTCACCCTCAACTCCGAGATGCTGCCCACAGCTGGGTACTCTGCACCCCCCATGGCACCACAGCGTCACCTTGGGGAGTCCAGAGGGACCCCAGAGCCGCCCTGCCACCCCAAGGGGTTCCAGGGGGATAGAGAACAAATGCATGCTGGAGTGGGAAAATGCAGTACCAGCAATCCTGGTGCTAAACCCTGACGTGGACTTACTGAGACGGATGGGGAGTGTGGCAGCACTGCCCTCCCGGCTGCCTGCCAGCGCTGAGACACGCACGAGGTAGGTGATGCCCTCCCGGAGATCACCCAGTTCCAGCCCTGTCTGGCTGCCTGGGATGCGCCTCGTCCTCTCCGTGCCGTCTGCCGGGAGGGGGTCAGTGCAGACACCCTCAGTGTCAGCTGGTCAGGGTCCCCCAGGTGCCACCCGTGCCCCTGCCCACAGACTCACCCTGGCTGTTGCGCACCACCACTTTGTACTCGGTGGCACCAGGGACACTGGTCCAGCTCAGTCGCACCCACCTGCCCGATTCCTCCACAAGCCGCAGGTCTGACACAGCACCCACGGGCCCCTCCACACCTGTAAGGGGACACGTGAGGCACAGTTGGAGCTGCACAGCCCGGACAGCACAGCCCAGACAGCACAGCCCCCCATAGTCATCCTGGGCCACAACCAGGCAGCTGAAGGGTCTCATGGCCAAGGGGGTCCCCAGGCTGAGCAGTGCCACATGGGGGACCACCCAAAGGACCCACAGCAGTCACTCACCTGTCTGGAAGGTGGTGACAGGGGTGGCCACCTCCCCACCATCATAGAGCGTGTAGAGGGTGATGCGGTACTCGGTGCCTGGCTTCAGCCCAGTCAGCTGGTAAGTATTGGTGCTGCTGGGGAGAGACACCGTTCTAGGGGGCTCTGGTCCTGTGGGGAGGAAAAGGTCACCACCAGCTGCTGGCATGGAGAGCCCGCAGGGGCAACGGGTACCCTGAGCCCACCTGTGGCTCTCTTCCACTCTAGACGGTAGCCACGGGCATCACGGGCACTGGTCCAGAGCACCTGGATGGATGTGGGACCCAGGATGTTGGTCTGCAGCGTCTGGTCCGTACCTGCCTCTGCAAGAGGAACCCCATGGGCCAGGCTACCCTGTGCCACTCTGCTGCCAGCCACCCACCCCAGCAGGTCTCCAGTCCCTGCACTCAGCAGGATAGGGAGCATGTGGGGCAATGGCAGATGGTTCTGGCCTCATCCCAGGGTAGAGTACAGGCTAGCAGCAGGATGGCATCACCTACCCAACACCTACCTGTCCTCTGCCGCACGGTGGTTGTGGGCCCCTCCAGCTCCCCGAAGAGCGGGGCCACCGTCACCACGTAGTCGGTATTGGGCTGCAGCCCCACGAGTGCGTGTGACGTTCGCCCAGCATCCAGGTCCACCCTGTGCCTGTCCTGCCCTGTGGGGAGCCGGTGCAGCAGTCCCTTGGGGGCTTTGGGCAGCGGGCGCCACCAGCCCCTTCCTGTCCCTCCTTCTAGGGACCACAAGCTCTGGAACAGCCACCTACCTGCGAGGGTCGCCCAGGACAGCCGGTAGCCAGTGGCACCGCTGACAGGCTGCCAGGTCAGCAGCATGCTCTGTGCTGAGATGTTGTGGACAGCCAAGTGCTGCACACCCACTGGATGCCCTGAGGGAAGAGAGGTGCCGGTCCATCCTTCACATGAGACTAAGGCAGGGGGCAGCAGAAATCACCTTCATCTGCAAACTGCCTGCTCCAGAGGCAAGAAGCCCTCTTGCCCCTGCTCACAGATGCTGAACTGCACTGAGGTCACTGAGTGCAGCCCGCGCCCAGGTGGCTCCTTCAAAGCACCAAACTCCTGCAAAGTGGAACTCAAAGCCTTCCTCTTAATGCCTTAAATATTTTCTGTGGGTTAAGACTGCCTGGGGCAGCTGAAGGAATTGGTTTGCCAAAATTTGAGGCTTGCAAAGGTTTGCCCCGGGGGCCTCACCCTCACTTCTACTTGCTTTCCACCACCCTTTTTCCTGGTGGAAACCACATTTTCCTCCTGCAGAGCACTGTATTCAAGTTTAAAAAAAAAGCCAACTACATTTTTTCAGTCAGAATTTTTACGTCACGTAAGGAAAGCTCTGGTCGAAACATTCCCAGAAGGCTGCAAAGGAAATTGGAAGCACACAGTGCTGCACCCTGCCCTGGGACCAACTTCTGGGGCTCAGAGCATCACCTTCTAGTCATGCTCACCTCCATCCCAGGCCCACTCCCACAGGCTGCAATGGGCCTGGCAGCCTCATCCCAATGAGGCACAGTGACTGGAGGGACATCCCTGTGCTGGGAACCCATCCCTAACCCTGGTTGAGTCCAGGGCCAGGCACAGTGCTTACGTGTCCGGGCGGTGAGGGTGGCAGGGACAGCAGGCTGCTGTGCGTAGCGGGGTCGGAGCACCACCACGTATTCCGTGTCGGGGCGCAGGTTGCTGAGTGTGGCTGATTGTGCACTGGCCCCCAGGCTCTTCTCCTCCCCCTGGGCTGCTCCTGGAAGGACAGTAGAGGAGTGTGGGTGAGCACAAGGACATGGAACACACCAGGCCCAGCAGGGAAGGGGTGTCTGTGGGCTGGCACCCCGCCCTCAGGATGCCAGTTGTTGCCAGGGGTGGGGAGTACCGGGAGAGGCTGGGACATGGGCCAGGGCAGGGGCACCCCTTGGATCACCCAGGGCCAGGGTGGGGCTGCCAGGTGTGCGGCTCCAGCCCAGCCCCTGGCTGGGACCGGGGTCTGCTGCTTGCCCCCCACGTGCAGCACTCATGGGGGTAGACGTGTGTCTGCGCTCTCAGCCCTGAGTTGGGGCGCACACGTGGGCCCCTGGCCATCATGCACACCCAAGCACACGCTCTGAGCCTTGTGCACGAAGCCTCCGGGAGCAGGAATACACAGGCTGCCTCCACAGCCCTGCACACACGCGTGCCCCACAGCCCACGCACGCGTGCTGGCTGCCGAGGTGAAGGCGGGCGTGCACACACCTGCAGCACCCTGGGCATGCACCCCTGCATCAACCCCCACCCGTGCACTCCCCATGCCCACGGGGCTGTGCAAAGGCAGGGCATCCAGGCAGCACTGAGCCTCGCAGGGACCGTCCCCTCACCTTGCATGGTGTAGCTGAGGCTGTAGCCCTGGGGGAGCTCAGGGCCAGGCTGCCAGGCCAGCCGCAGGAAGGTTGCTCCGGTCTCCACCACGCGAAAATCCAGCATGGAGCCAGCACGGCTTTCTGGGGGCACACAGGAGCAGGGATGAGCTCCCAGCCCCATGTGCAGGCACCCAGTGCCTATGTTCGCCCCTGTCCCCAAGGGTATGGACACTCACGGGTCCGTACTCGGCTGGACACTGACTCGCCGATGCTGTTGGCATACTGGGCAGTGACAGTGACCAGGTACTCCGTCCCCACACGCAGTCCCCGCAGCACAGTGCTCATCTCCCGTGGCCCCAGGCTCACCTGGGCAGGAACAGTGCCATCCCCTCAACATCCCCAGGTCACTTGTGGAGCCACCGGGGATCCCCAGGAACTCTGAGCAGCCAGGTAGGAGCACTCACCTCCTGCCTCTCTGCCATGATCGGCTGCCCCAGCCCTGTCAGCGGCACATGTTGGACCCGGTAGCCTGTGACAGGGCCACTGGCTGCCGTCCAGCGGATCCGCAGCTGGTCAAAGCCCCGCTCCAGGATCTCTAGGTTGGAAGGGCCAGTATGGCTTTGCCCATCTGTGGGGAAGCACAGGGGCTGTCAGTTCCAGGGTGCACAAGACAGAGAGGAGACCTTTACGAGGCAGCACAAATGCGTGCCCGTTGGAATGGTATGAGCAGGAAGGCATTTTGGATAGGGATGGGTGCAAAGAGTGCACCCATGGTGAGCACAGCCTGACTCCTGTCAGGGAGGAGGATGGGGGCCCATACCCAGCAGGCGCAGGGTACCCCCGACACTCGTGCACACTCTGCGTGTCATCAGCGGCACCAGTGTGCTCAGCAGCTTGAAGTCACCAACGTAGGAGAAGAAGGCATCAGTAGGCGTTGAGGCCACACGAACGAGCTCCTTGTGGTCAGCGTTCTTAACCCCTGGGAGGGATGGAGATTATGGGTGAGGGAGGGACCCTGAACCAAGCAGGAGAACCCCTCACATGGTGCTGAAGCCTCGCTCACCCACTGCAAAGATCTTGACACCCTGACTCTTCAGCTTTGCTGCCGGCCCCTCGGCATCATCCTGGGACTTGCCATCTGTGATGAGGATGCAGATCTGTGGGGGTCAGGCAAGAGGTGTGAGACCCAGCATGGGGCCCATGGACCCAACACTTCTCCCTGTGTCATCAGAGCCCTCCATGTACCTGGGGCACCCCAGGCCGGAGCTGTGTGGGGCCAAAGAAGTTGTCAGCAACATAGCGGAAGCCAGCACCAGTCCGCGTGTTGCCGCCCTTGTAGCTCAGCTGCTGGATGGCCCTCCGGACACTTGCACCGTCAGTGTGCTGGGAGAAGGTGAACTCCACCCTGGGGAGCGCAGGGGGACAGTGTCACCTCTCAGCCCTGCCCCCCTGCTGCCCCACATGCCCCCTCCCCGGGGCTCACCGTGGGTCATCGCTGTACTGTGCCACGGCGAAGCGCACCGCCTTCTCACCCACCACCTGCACGAAGGGCGCCACGAGGTCATCCATGAAGGTGCGGACGGTGCGGAAGTTGTTCCTGCCGATGCTGGACGAGCCGTCCACCAGGAAGGCGATGTCAGCCTCCAGCACATCCTCACACACGGCTGTGGGGCAGTGACAGTTCTCAGGGCATGGACCAGCACAACGGCACAGTGGTGCTGGCCCTGTCTCATCATCCCACCCGCTGCATGCACCCAGTGCTCAGCACCCACCTTGGCTCCTCTTCTGCGCCATGGCAGGCAGGGGACCCAGGAGCACAGGGAGCACAGCCAGGAACAGGAGCTGGCCACTCATTGTGGGAGCCTGCAAGAGAGGATGCTGCCACCATGGCCCCACAGCAGCCCCACACCTCGGGGACAGCAGTTCGGGAGGTTCCCAGCACCACCCATGCCAGGACGCCTGGCAGCGTTGGGAGGGCAGGGTGCCAGTGCCGTCCCAGGCACCCCACGGCACAGGGAGAGCCCCGTTTCAGGCCGGGGCAGGGAAGCAGCAGCTGGCCCGTGTACAGCCGGTGGGGGTTGCCCACAGTGCGGGGGGTACAGGCAGCACCTGGCCGCACTCCCGCCCTCCCGGTCCAGCCCGGGCTCTGCCTCCCTCCAGCCCTTCCCCTGCCCACGCCGCGGCACCGGCAGCAGCGCACCCCGGCCGCTCCTACCTCCCTGCCCCCCAGCCCGCCGGGGCTCCCTCCGCCCCAGGAAGGTGCTCTAGGGCAGCGGGGAGGCAGCGTGGGCAGCCCTGCCCGCCAGCCCCACGCCCCGCCGCTTCCCACTCACGCGGCTCCGAGGAACACCTGGCCCGGCACCCCCGCGATGGTCACGGCGGGTCCCAGCCCCAGCACCGCCCGGCCCGGGCGGAGCGAGCCCCGCCGCGGGAGGGTGGGCGAGCGCCCGTGGGTGCCCGCGCGGGAGGCTCTGTCGCCCCGCAGCGCCCCCCGCCCGCGGCGGGACCCCCTGCACAGCCCCGTGCTCACCCGCCGTCCCCGCGGGGGCCGCTCCGTCCCGCACCGCTCCACTCCGCGCCGTTCCGTGCCGTTCCGAGCCGAGCCGAGCCGGGCGCAGGCGGTGCCGGCAAGCACCGGCCCCCGGCGCTCCCGCCCCTTTATGGAGGGCGGCCCGGAGCGCGGTCCAGAGCGGGGGGAGAGGCTCGGCCCCCGCCCAGCCCGCCCCCCCCAAAGGGCTTTTCCCACCCGCTCCCCTGGGAGGGAAGGAAGGGAAACGGCTCCTCAGGCTGTCACACTCAAGTGCCACCCTTGGCTGCAGAACGCACAGAGGCTGAAGGGTAACGAGGTGGTGATGAAGCAGGAGAGGGCTGGATCCCTGGGGAGCGTTTCTGCCGGGCTTTCCACCGAGACCTCGTTGAGGGGCCGAGTAGTCTCCAATAAGGCTCAAGGCAATTTTCCCTCTAGCATCTGCATCCTCCAGGAAGGTGAGGAACTCTGGGACCTGCCAGCCAGGAGCTGGCTGTTCACCTCCATCCATCTCAAGGGAATGTGACCACAGGGACTGTAGGGCGTCACACTGGGCAGAGCTGGATGGAGCTGCCACAGGGACCAGAGCCCCTGACCCCCACCGGGTTAGAGCCTGACTCTGAGCACCAGTCCTGGGAAGGACAATGGTGGCGAAGGGCTGCTCCCCACGCCAGAACAGCTCACACAAGGCTTCAGGACTGCCAGGCCTTGGCTGGGACTTTTCCTGCCCCCACAGCTTGGAGTACCCAGCATACAGGGCTCTAGCACGCTTGTACAGGAACTGCCCTGAAGCCATCTGTGGGGCATCCTCCTGCCCTCCTCGAGACACCATCTCCCACCAGCTTCCAGAGCAGATCAGTGCCTGAAACCTACCTCAGAGCTGGAGAAACCAGCCACTAAAGATGTGGCTGCACTTGCTGGGAGGAGGCAAAAGGGAAAGGACACCCAGCAGGATGGTCTCGTTACCCTGGTCTCACTTTCTGCCCACCCAGAGACTGGTGGAACTGTCTTCGAGGCCCCACAGCCCAGCGTGCTTCCCTGACCCTCAGGGTGCCCCTCACCCCCAGGGTGGTTGCTCCTTGGGGGCACATCACACTGCACCCCATCCTCCCCCGTGATGTCTGTGCTCACCCGGGACTGGCCCTGGCTCATGGCCCTGCCATGTGCCTCATGCTACCCTCGCTCTGTCCCCTTGGTCACCCCACATTCCCCTGTCCCCAGCACCTCACATACCTGTGCTCTCCCAGACACCGGCGCAGGGGCTCCCCTCCAGCTCCTGGCAGGGCAGTGGACAGGTCCGGGGGCATCTTTTTGAGGGCGGCAATGAGAGTGACAGTGGGGGTCGCTGGGACCCAGGGCCGCCTCACAGCTGGGGGCCCCGGACAGGGCCACCGGCCACCGTGCAAAGATGCTCCAGGGTCGGCTGCAGGCAACTTTCCCAGGCACACGCTGTTCCCAAGCAGGGGAGGAGTGGCGATGCCCCAGCTCTTCTTAAAGGCGCAGCAAGCAGTGCATCCCCTCCTCTTCGTTAGCCCTCCTCTCCTTAGACCCCAGCCCTGGCCCCCACACCTGGCTGGGGGGTTCCGAGGTTCACCGTGGTCACAGGTTTCCCCCTGCCTGCCCCATCCCTGTGAGTCCGGTCGTGAGTCCAGCATCCTCAGGTCAGGACCATCCCCAAACCCTCCTCCCGCCAGAGCTCGTTTAATGACGACAGGGCGGCCTGTCCCAATTAGACAAGGGGCTTCGTTAAACAGGGAGCGGAGGGGCCTGCCAAGGGCACTGTGTCTGGCCCCGGGCCCGGCGCTGGTGGAGCAGCCCCAAGGCGCGGTGCCGACGACAGGGCGGCCGGGGGTCACCCCGGCAAACGGGGGCAGCGCTGGGGCGAGAACGCCCGGTGGGCACCGCAGGCAGCGGCACCGGGACAGCGACACTTCGCAGCCGTGCCGGGGGCTCTGCCTGCCACCTCGGCCTCTAGGACTGTGCCAGGCACCAATTTGGGGTGGTCCCAAAACCCCATGTCCATGGGGGCATGGACAGCATCTTGACCATCTTGTCAGCAGCGTTCCCTTTACACTGGCACTGGAGGGGGGGGGGGGGGTACGCAGGTGCGCTGGGTCCCCAAAACCAGAGTGCCTCCCCCTCTGCGGTGTTTCCCAGCTTCCCCCTGCATACCAGGGCCAGGGAAGGAATCCGCGGCCCGCGGCGCGGACGGTGTTGCCTCTGCAAGAGCGAGAGCGCCAGGTGCGAGTGACTCACTCGGGCGCCCCGTGCCGCTGCAGCGAGTCCCTCCGGGAACATCCCGAAAGGCTGTCAGCCCTCCCTGAAGCCTGGCAGGCTGGCAGCCAGGCCACCAGTCACTCCCACAGCCCAGTCTTGGGGTTCCCCATCTCCCAGCTAGCTCAGTCCCAAAGCACGCTGACTCCTCTTCACTGACTAATCAAAGTTGCAGGGCTGACCCCGACCCCAGCTTCTTGCCTGTGCATGCCATCCTGGTTCCCAAATGCCACTCACCAGCCAGTCAGATCACAAGAGAACAAAAAACATATCCCTAGGTCCCACTGATCTTGGTCCTTGCAGGGCACTGCCCAGGCAAGCAGGGGGCCACACCACCCCCAGGCACAGGAGCCCCCCTAGTTTGAGAGTGCACACAAGAGAAGCACCAGGACTGAGCTTCTCCCTGCCCACACTTGCCAGGCATGAGGCCTCACCGCTGCTTTAGTGGGGAACAAGAAGTAAATGTTTTCTTCAGCCCCAGGTGAGGATTCAGCTCTCTCGGATAGGATGAGTCATACATTCATCATGGTGAGATGCTGCACGGTGAGATGGGTGCTGGGATGCAGAGACAGCTGTGCCTGTGGTGCTGTAGGATCTGCATCCCATCCTCTGCCCACCCCCTCCACACCCCAGAGCCACTGCCTCTGGTGCTGATCTGACAGAGGCTGGGATTCAGCACAACCCTTACAGGACTCCAGTCTTCTGGTCCTGCAGTGGTCTCACTCCAGCATGACAGGCATTTCCCAGCCAGTGGGAATGCATGGGACAGCTCTGGGGGTGGTGTGAGGGAGAAACCCCCTCTCTAGGCACTTTTAAATTGGGAAGCTTTCAGACCGAGGGGAGCAGCAGGGGGCTGGTGCCGAGGAGGGTGAGAAGAGGAGAAGCTGGCCAGAGCCCGGAGGGAGAACCTCGCCTGCCACAAGGGCCTGTTGGGACACGCTCCAGGAATGTCTCCCAGCACCAGTCACCGCCAGCTACATGATGTGGCACCCAGCCACCCAGTACCAGCATCCTGGGAAAGGGGCCCATGATCCCTTGCCATCATCACCAGTCAGCCTGGGGACAGCCCAGAGGGACAGCATCACACTCCCAGTGCAACCTTGGGGAACCCCTGTGCCACCCTGTGGGACACCCCAGCAAGCCCAGGGGCCACAAAATAGGCCAGGGTGGGAAACTGGTCACCCCTTACCTCCTGCTGACCTGTCCCAAGGGATCCGGGGTGGAAGACAGCTGTGACAGCTCCTCCAGGCTGCAATTCACAAGGGAACAGACAGCAGACCCCCAGCTCTTATGTGCTGCAGGGGATAGCTGCAGCCCAAAGCCACATCCCTGCAGGAAAAGGAATCAGTATGACATCAGGGTGAAGCCATGACCAGCGAGCTACCCTTTGTGCCCAGTGGCTCTGGGGATGCCCAAAGCCAGGGGGATGCTCCCAGTTGCAGGGCTGATGGAAGCAAGTGGTCTCACTGCAGTCAGACTTGGGGTTAGGCTGAGCCCACTGTACCCCCACACCAGGGCTCCCCAGGGGGTAGGTGCGTGTCCCAGCTCTCCCACAGCTGCTGTGCAAGGATGGGAAGTTTTTCCTGCCCATAAACTGTTGTGTCTGGAGGCTGCTTCCAGCACGGCCGCACACCGGCATCGCACGAAGCTGCGCTGGAATGCGGCCAAGCCCTGCCGGCCACGCGGAATAGGATCAGGGAGAGAACAGTAACACCATGAGGATGTGACCCCCCCTTGGCTAAGTCGGTAGGAGAAGGCAGCCCTGGTCAGAAGACAGCAGGGTAGCTCTCAGGGATAGCGAGGGAGAGGAGAGCCAGGCACTGCCAGGGCTCTGCAAAGGGCCAGCGGTGCTCTGCAATGGCATGTGGCCAGCATGCCAGAAGGGGAAGGTGATGATGGGGATGATGGAAGCAGGATGAGGAGCCAGCAGCACTGCATGGAGTTCTAGAGTTGCCAGTCAACAACCTGCCTTCAGCTGCGTCCCGTGGCTGGACTTTGGATGATGCTGGGGATGTCCAGAGAGGATGCAATGTGGCTGGGGCTGGGTGTCAGGGACCCA